ATTTTTCTAAGAACAATACATATGACAACATCTGTAAATCCAGAACAGTGTTAATTAAGACATCGTTAAAAGTAATATGATTAAGTGTAATTCTGATGATTAGTTATGCCAATCCAGAAAAACTTCTCAAAGCTGGCAAAAATTTTAAAAAATATCCTCAACAGCAGAGGGATGTTATATCCAATAGAATGGTGATGAGAAATAGAATGGTAAACCAAATGTAATAGGGAATCAAGAAATTACTGATGCAGTAATAGGTTGGAATGCCTGCTATGAACGCCTTGGCAGGAAATACATCTTCTGGATGACGTCTAACTTAGAGTAATAGTAGGATCCACTTGCTTTCCCTGACTTGATCTTAGGAAGTCATGCAGAATATTGCCCAGGTTTCAATTTTTAGTTTAATCTTGATTCTGAATACTAGTTTTTCTGAAAAATGATTTTATTTTTTAAAGATTTTATTTATTTATTTGAGAGAGAGAACACAGAGGGAGAATGAGAGAGAGAAACAGACTCCCCGCTGAGAGAAGAGCCCAACTTGGGGCTTGATCCCAGGACCTTGAGATCATGACCTGAGCCGAAGGCAGATACTTAACAGACTGAACCACCCAGGCGTCCCTGAAAAATGATTTTAAGAGTAACATAAAATAGCTCCATTAATGCAGAAGTATGATAGCATAGAGCTTTGAGAATTAAAATATACATTCTAGCATTGACTATAAAGTTTAATATGGTATTGAAGATTGTCTTTAATTACAAATGGAATAATAGTCCTACATCCAAAGATGTACACAGCGAAACCTGGGAAACATCTGTGCGTGTTGTGCTATGAGTGGAGAAAGGACTGAAAATATATTCACAAATCTGGGGAAGGAATGGAAAGAAGAGGAAAGGGGAAGATTTTGAATGAGGCCAGTACATACTCAAGCGTGAACTCTCTTGGATAGACGATAACCCAAGGCGGGGGGCAGGAAATGGTGACTGTGCAACAGGTGGATGCCTGTATGGTTACGTTTCCTCCTTCACCCCGGGCAATGAAGTTGTGTCTAGATTTGCAAGATGACAGAAGGAAACCCTTCAGAGGCTTTTGTGTTTGATACCGTCTGTTAGGCTTTCATGGAAAAATCGCTACAAGAATATTTTATTAGCAACGATCTCCAATCCCCTTCCTTCTTTCAACCACTTTTGTTAGAAGCATAACACAAATAATTCAGTTTTGAAAAACAAAGCTGTTCTAGAATATGACTGCTAATGGAGGACTTGAAAGCCCTGGTTGTTTTCACAAGCCAGGCACAGGTAGTATTTGTGGGCATGAGAGTGTGGGTTGGTTTTGCATCTACATCCAGACATCTTATCCCAGAAAAAGTTTTGTGCCATGATTTTTAAAAGAAATACCATCTAGAGTTTTGACATGCTCTCTGCTGATCATCCTTAACCAATTAAAGATTAGGACCCACCAGAGAACTTGTTCATAAAAGATTTACAGAAAAGTCACAGTGTAGTTGAATTCAAAATGAAGAGTGTAAAGGTAAGTGAGCATTTTTGAATAATAACATATTCAGTAAAAGACAAAACATATCAGCTCAAAATACAATGGAACAGCATTAAAAAAGGTATCTTGGGAGACATTTCTCTTCCCTAACAACTCTTAAGAATAAACAGATTTCTTCAGGGTTACTTTGAAAGACTAAAAACACATACTAGGTAATTGGGTTGACAATTGCCCTGTTTTGACACAGCACTCCGGGGATTCGCACATCCTGCCCCCGAGCAACGGCTTCAATTTGATAACTCGAAAACCAAAAATGTTAGCTCCATTGTCTCTTGGCTGGATTGACAGTCGTAGAGGGAGAAGCCAGTTTATGTCTGAGAGCTATTGCAAATGGAGGCCTGGATTCATACCACTGCTGCCACCTGATAACTATTAGCTTTTAGAATTTTATGTTACTTTGGCAAGATTTGATACTTTATGTTTATTGTCTTTGTAAGTTGGGGGCAGTAGCAGTGGGAAATGAGTGTGTGGTAGGAAGTAAGATCTGCAGATTGATAACATGTGTTGTGCAGGAGAGAGCCTGCAAAGAAGGAGAATTAACATGTATTCAGTTCCTATTGTAGGCCAGGCATTGTGGTATGTGCTTTATAATTTATAATCACCGCATCAGCCTCATAAAGCATGTATTAATATCCCTAATTTGACAGATGTGAAGAAGTCAAGTCATTTCTCCAATGGCACATAGATAATTCGGTAGCAGGAAAAGAGTTCCCGTTTAGGGCTCTCAAATCCCAGTGTTGTGGTCCCTGTAGTTCACAAGGCTGACTCATCAGGGAGGAAACTTGGCACATCTCGCTCACTGTTGCTCAAATGCTAATGCACACATAACTCAGCTGAGGGTCTTGTGAAAATGCAGATCCTGAGTCACTAGTTCTTGGGTGTGGCCTGAGATGCTGCATTTTTTAATTAACAGCAGATCATGCAGATGGCGTTTGTTTGGGGGCTGCACTCAGAGTAGCCAGCCTCTAGTTTACCCTCATGGGTCCTGTTGTGGAAACCTAAGCCTCCAACGTGAAAAGCCCAGGAACATGTAATTCAATCACGGCAGAGCTGAGTTTGAGCGGTGGCAATGCCAAAGGATGGTTGGAGGGATGCCCCCTTCCTATTGTCCATCAGCCCCCCAAAGTAGACCCATAAACATGCATGTATTTGCTGTTGAACTCAGAAGACTTGCCTGAGCCCCCTTTTCCAGTTCCCTCGCTGTCCTTTCCTTCTGTACAGGATTCTGGAGTCAAACCTTTGTGTTCTTTCAGGTGATGCTTTTTTAGTGTAACTCAAGCACGGCATCTCAAAGCATGATGGACAAATAAGTAACGGAAGGAAGCCATTACAGCTCCTCCAAGATGGGGATCAGGAACTCAAATGTCCGTGGCCAGCCAAGGCATGTGAAGGAATGACCTGGGTGGGTGATGACAACCTGGAGAGCATGTGTCCCTCCCCAGAAACAGCCATGGCCTCGACCAACCCCATGGAGACCTTTGAAACCAGGATTGCCATGGTGGTGTAGGTGGGTTTCCAAGCCAAACTGTTTAGAGATGCTAACCAATTCAGAAAGGTTAGCTCAGGGGTGGCGTGGGGGTGAGGAATCCCCACACAGTTGTGGAAGATCAGACGGTTATATGTCTCTGCTCTTCATTCTCTGCCAATACCAACATCTGGGTAAACGAGGAATCTGAGTGAGCTCTATCTACTTAAATGCTTTTATAAAATGAACCAAATCTAGGGGTAGAAGTAAATATTATCATGTTTTTGGCATATTATTTTAAACTGTCAAGGATATCAGATAACTCAAACAAATTATCTTACTATATGTGTATATATATATTTAATTACCCCAAGAATAATAATCCCTACTAAATGGCCTTAGGTTCCATAGCCACGATTCAAAATACAGATTTGTCCTCTATGCCTCCAAATATCAGAATCATGGATTCAGTGAATTTATTTCCCATATCTGTAATTTTGTGTACAAATCCTTAAAAGCCTGGTGTTAACAGACTGAATGTGTCCTCCCCCTGTTGAATTCATTATGTTGAAATCCAGTCCCCAATTTAATGGTATTGGGAAGTTGGATCTTTGAGAAGTGATAAGGATTAGGTGAGGTCGTGAGGGTTCCATTTAATTAATTAAGGTCTTCGTGCCCTTAAAAGACTCACAAGGGAGCTTGCTTCCACTGTGTTGTCCTCCATGTGTGGGTACAACAAGAAGCAAACCACCCAGAAACCGAGAAGCAGGTGCTCACCAGATCCTGGTCTGCGGGCAGCTTAACCTTGAACTTGCCACCCTCCAGAACTGTGAAAAACAAATGTTTGTTGTTTAAGCCACCCAGTCTTAAGGGTTATTTGTTAGAGTGGCCTGGATGACATCACCTAGTAACTTACCAAGAACATGGAATATTGAACACAGCATATTCTGTTCGAGAATGTAGACACTTGGGGTTATCATTTACCTATGATCCAATTTCTTAAGAATTTCATGAATATATTGGAGGTTATCTGGGTGTCCTATCTGATGTAGAATTTGAGAACCTTAAAATTTACCGCTATTGCTGAAAAAGAAGGAAAAATGAAATACCTGATTCTCAAAGAATAGAATTGTCGCAGTTGAACCCCTGGCAGGATGAGCCTGGATGTCGGACAGAGGCAGAGAGAAGTGACGTGTTCTCGACACGAACTAGTTATGTGGCCCTCTCTCTAAATTATGATTATGAGTCACTTCTCTCTTAGGCTCAGCTTACTCATCTCCAAAATACTGGAGATCGACTTGGGGATCTCACATGGATATTTCTTTTCTTTCTTTCTTTTTTTTTTGTATTTCACTTTTAAAACTATTATCCTACAAACCATGTTTTATATTTATAAAGTGAGCTTTAATGAGCTTTGATATATTATCAAAAAGAGAGATCTTAATCTATCTATAAATAATTTTTACACATTCTTGTAGGGGAAAGCTTATCTTGGAAGCATCAGTGATCTTCTTAGCCCCCAACTCCACTCCAGTGCTGGTTGTCTCCACGTCAGGAAGGGAGATGGATGTTATGCCTCTTCTCCAATTACTCAGGTTTACGTGATGCAGATTTTCTCTCTCTCACTGTAGTTAAATGACTGCAGTGATAGAGCTTCTTTCTTGGTTACTTGTAAACATGTATGCCTTTGTTTCTTGTTTAATTTCCCACTGACAGTGATCTGATTTTCCACTCTGTAAGATGAGAATATTCATCTCCCTATCCATTATTTGATCTTTCTTCCTCTTCCATCTCCCATCTTCTATTATTTCTATTTAATTGTACTGTTATACATGCATCCAAGTATACAGTTACCATATGAAATTTGGGTGTGGTGAGAAGCTGACATGGTGATTCCAACCCTAACACTAGCTTCTCTAGCTCAAGGTGTGTGTGTGTGTGTGTTTGCACGCGCGTGTTGTATTGTTAAGAGCTGAACCTTAAAAGATGATTCTGATAGCTGCAGATCAGCCACAGTGCTCGCCTCATTTTATCACTCTGTGGGGATGCAGTTCAGTGGGCAGCAGACGTATGCCGAAGACATCTGGGCGCTGGCTGGTTTTTCACATGTTCTGAGATGTGGCATTTCTTACCAAACGGTAATATAAATCCTGACTTTGAAAAGGCTTCAGCAGAGAACAAATGTGAGCTTCTCCCGTCAGACACAATGTTACTGTGTGTGGAGGGTGTCAGGCAGCAGCTCGCTCCTGTTAGGGATGAAGGGTAGACGCATGGGTCAGGCTTCTTTGGCTACATTTCCATATCCCTGGCAAAATCAGTCAAGACCTTGGAGTGCACAGAAGTGTCTGGGCTCTTTGATCGCCTGTCCCTCGCTCATCTTAAGGCTCCAGTTATTATTACCTGCAGAGCCCAGAGATATTATCTGTGTACCGTGATATCCTCAGGGGTTTTTCTCCTGAAGTTTTTCTTTCTCTTAACTTCCTCCCTCCCTTCTTTCTTCTGTCCCGGCTTCTCTCTCGTTCTTTGACTACTTCTTCCTTCCCTCCCTCCCTCCTCTCTTGCTTTTTCTAACAAACTTTATTCTAGCTTCAGATACAGTCAGCATGCCAGGCCTGGCCTGCTCTATAGCTGAGACCACTGATCTCTTAAGTTGGAAACCACTGTCACCTTGAACTCACATCTCCTCCAAGTTTCATGCTCACTTTGCTGGACTTGATCCTAAGGCAAATTCTGAAGACAGGATGCATGCAAAATACAATCTCTGAATCTTACATGTTTGTACAGGTGTTTATTTATTTTTTTAAAGATTTATTTATTCCAGGGAGAGAGAGAGAGCATGAGCACAAGTGAGGGGAGGGGAAGAGGGTGGAGGAGAAGGAGACTCCCCGCTGAGCCGGGAGCTCAAGAAGCAGGGCTGAATCCCAGGACCCCGAGATCATGACCCGAGCCGGAACCAAGAGTTGGACGCCCAACCAACTGAGCCATCCAGGCCCCCCTGGACAGATCTTTATTTGCGCCCTTGCTTGATAATTTGTTGTTTTGATCTTTTTATCGTTTCCTGACAAATTTGAAGGTCTTGGTTACTTCATTATTTCCCAGCACCCCATGTTTTGTAGATGAAAGGTCTGCCTCTCATTCCCTGTCTGGAAACATGGCCTTTCTATTTGGAAAGCTTTTCCAAAAGTACTGAAATTTCGTGGTGTCTGAACATATGCCTTTTTTCGTGCCCTCTGTCACAAACTCAGTGAACACTTTAAACTGTGGGAAATTTATTTATTTGTATTGAGAAATTCCTTTGCCCTATTTTTCTAAATTTTCTCTTTATTTTTTTCTTGAATGTTTTCTTTCCTCCACCTTCTTCCCTTTTCATATTATCCAGCTCTTGCTTCATGGATACTATATATTTAAAAATCTCACTGAAAGTACTTCTTGCACTTTTACTGTTATCTTCTGCCCCCAAGTTGTTTTATTTTCTCCTGCTTCATGCTGGAATGTATGATTCCTCCTACATTGTAAAAATAGCTTCCATTTTGTAGACTTTTCTCAAATATCTAGGAATCCTGGCTTGCCTTTTAATCTTTAAGAATGTGGCAACTGTCAGAAAGTTCACTTGGAGCTCTGTGAACATGGCCGGGCTGGTAATTGGCAGTCTTTCCTGTAGAATGAGTGGGGAAGGAGATGAGTAGCCTTAATTGCTACTGCAGAGTATCCTTGTTTGGGAAACGAAACTCTTCGAGCTAGCTTCCCTAGTTCCTTCTCCACGTTTATTCACACTGTGCAGCGCACATGAGCACGCACGCGTGTGTGTGTGTACTGGGGGAGAGCTAAGGGTTTGTAAACCTTAAAAATAAAGCTGTCAGTTATTTTACCACCAAAATGGGTTTATTTGGGAATAGCAGAAGATTGTGATTTGGGACATACAAGCTATGGCAAAACCAGAGGCAAGTCCAGAGAACAAGGGAGAGAAACACTCTTATAGAGAAAAGAAGTTAGGGAGTTGGGAGAGGCTCTTTGGGACAAAAAGTCCACTGGAGTAATCTAAAAGCTGGAAGTGTAGCCGCTTCTCATTGGCTGGGCTTTTGGCAGGGGGAGGAGGAAACCTTCCTTTTTCCTGCTGGGGAGGTAAAGTAGCATCACTCTCAAGGTCCTCTCTGTTGGGTCTGCGATTGACAAGGAGTCGTGGGGAAGGAGAGCGCCCCCTTGTGGTCCCTTTGTGGCTGCATTTTAAATGAGGTTTCCTTTTATTAATTTTCACAGGTGAAACCCCTGGTTGGCAGGAATTGTTTATGTGGGAATAGGTTGTGTGTCTGTGTGGCAGGGAGTGGGGCTGGGGGGGGGGGGGTCTATGTATGTTCCCTAGTTTTTAACTCTACATTTCACGGATTTCCTGTATTGTTCATGACATTGCTGATTTCTTCCTTTCTAGAGTTTTATGAGCACATCCGTCCTTCTTCATCAGGTCTGGGTATAACCTCCTTCACTCTCCATTTCTTGACATCTCTCTTTTGTCTTCCAAATTTTTTAAAAGGCTTCCACTTGTCCCCTTGCGGGTTTTTTTTTTTTTTTTTGGTGTTGTTGGCTTATTTTGATTCTTCTTCATTTTTAAGTCATTTGAAAGTAGTAGAGGGAGAGGAAATAAGCCCGTGTTTAGTTGATCACCCTGGCTTGTAAGCTCCTGAAAAGGTCTTAAACATTAAGAGGGTATGAGCAGCCAGTTTTTGAATAACAGACAGCGACTGAGAAATAAATCAATCACCCGTAAGCAAAATTTCACACCGTAAGTAGCTGGGCTCAGGAACACGTTTCAGTGATGTTCTTCCTGCCCTGCGTTTCTTTTCTTGTGGGGGAGATGCAGTGGGGAGGAGCTGGGAGAGTCTGGAGGCGTGTGTGAATGCCGCCGTTGGCAGAGATGAGCTGACATGCAGCTCTGTGCTGGTGCACAGTTCTGAGCAGCCGTGTGGAGGCAAAACAGGGGATCAGGGGCCAAGGAGCCCAGTATGACACAAACGGAGGCTAGTAAGAATACATGACATATCACACACGGTTGCTCAAAGATATTATTTAAAGTCTAATGTCTTGCTTCAGCCTAGATAATAACAATAATATTAGCCAACATTTACTGAGCACCTTCTGTGTGTGGCATTAAATACTTTAGACCAGTTCCCCTAAATAATCCTCTAAGGTAGTTACTGTTGTTGTCATTATTCCCATCTTACAGGCAGCTAGTAAGCGGCAGAGCCAGTGTATGAAATAATTAAGTTCCAGAGTTCCTCTAAGACTGTGTGTGTGTGTGTGTGTAACATAGTAACAGAGATGCTACACTATCTCAAAACACTTTTAGCCAATGGCATACTGGTAAACTGTTTCCCCAGAGCAAAAAGCAAGCCCTAATCGGTAATGTCTACTGACATGTTGGTATACGAACTCCCACCATGGCTGATTTCAAGGATAGTAATGATTTAACAGTCGGCTCTGCTGGCAAAAGTGGGCTCCGATACAACACCGCTTTAGCCTCATTAGAACTAAATTGAGGGAGCTTAGATGGTCTGCTATTGCTCCTATTCTGAACTCATCTTTGGCTTAATTTTCATTTGGTCTTAAATAAGCAGAACAAGAAAGGAAGACAAGTGATACTGGTTTTATTTAGGAGTGGAAAGAAGTATTTGACATTTATGGTGGTTAAGGATTTTGCACACGTTAGAAAGAAATATGGACTGCTAGCAGTTGGAACGGATTTTGTTCTTCCATATCCACGCTAATATCTGATTTTCTCACAAATACTGTATGTCACCATCCACGTTATAGGAACAAAATTTTAATTAAAGAAAATAAATGAGCAGCCACATCTAATGCCAGCATAGAAAGGTCACTAGTTTAAATCAGTTGGCCTGTTCTTTAGTGCACTGTCCACGCCTTAGAACTCTAAATGACTTCCTGGCCCTTTAACTCAGAAGCAAAGAAGTTGGTTACGGCAGCTCTCACTTCCACTGTATCCATTTATGAACATGGTAATTATTTTATCCTTCAAATGGGGATGCCTTCTCCAAGTACTAAACTATGGCACTTCGTTGGTGGCTGAACCTGAGCTGTGTAAGAAAACATCATATAGTCCATATGAACCACAGGCAGTTCATATTTTTTGTAGACCTCATTATCTCACATTAACTTCCTAAGACAGGGGTTGAAATTATACTGAGTAATCATAAACAGCAAAATATTTAAGAAAGCAAGTAAAAATTTCACATATGACTTTTTAGAAGCTTTTTGAAAGGTCTAAGAATCTTAAAAAAAAAAAAAAATAACCGGTAAAGTGACATAAATAGGTCTGAATTTATCTTCACAATTAGCATCCAATTAAGATATATATTTATATGTCACCAGCTTTTATTCAAATGATTTAATTAAACTATTAAGATACTAAATGACTTCGATTATGTCTTTAGCTCCAGATTCAATCATCCAGCATCAGATGTAATGACACTTTAAAAAGAAGTTCAACAATGAAAAGTTATGGGCTTTAAAAGTATATTATAGTCTTTACAATATCTCAATTAAAATACATTATGCCTATGATTTGCCTTCTGAAACCAAAAGGAATCACTTAAGTGAGTGCTGGTGTTGGAAACAGACATATTTTTTTATTTATGTGTATGTAGCACACATGCATGTTTCTAGCAACTTCAGGTCAGTGTTCTATAAGAGTAATTCAAAAAAGACAGTATCTTCAATAAATGGTGCTGGGAAAATTGGACAGCTATATACAGAAGAATGAAACTCGACCATTCTCTTACACCATTCACAAAGATAAACTCAAAGTGGATGAAAGACCTCAATATGAGACGGGAATCCATCAAAATCCTAGAGGAGAACATAGGCAGTAACCTTTCCGACATCGGCCACAGCAACTTCTTTCAAAACACGTCTCCAAAGGCAAGAGAAACAGAAGCAAAAATGAACTTTTGGGACTTCATCAAGATAAAAAGCTTCTGCACAGCGAAGGAAACAGTCAACAAAACAAAGAGACAACCCACAGAATGGGAGAAGATTTTTGCAAATGCTACTACAGATAAAGGGCTGGTATCCAAGATCTATAAATGAACTTCTCAAACTCAACACCCAAAAAAACAAGTAAGTCAAAAAATGGGCAAAAGACATGACCACTTCTCCAAAGAAGACATACAAATGGCTAACAGACACATGAAAAAATGTTCAACATCATTAACCATCAGGGAAATTCAAATCAAAG